TCAGGTCCCTTCCGACCCTAGAAACTATGAAACTAAGTGTCCTACCTTATTTACAGTTTAGATACAGGTTTGTTTTCCCCACCAAAGCTCTGAAAGAAAGAGCTAACCATCATCAGAAGGTAACAGTTGAGGGAAGAACAACATACATTTTCACCCATAAAAGATTTACATCCTCTCTAACAGGACTGTTGTATGACTGATCCAGAGCCTATGGAAATTAATGGATGCCATTTCATTGATTTCAACAGGCTCTGAATCAGAGAGAAATATGTTATGTTCTTCCATAAACAAACCTTTAAATTCAGAATTGTCACTGACATAAGAACTTTTTCTAGAGATGGAACAGAAGTAGCAAATAAGCAATTTTATTTAAAATAAAAAAGTCTACGTATATAGCAAAGGTTGCAATTAAATGTTTAGTATAAAGGTAGACAGCCTTCCTCAGCTAAATACATATTAACAAACAGGAAACCAAGAGCAACAAGTCACAAAAGAATTACACACAAATCATTGCAACAGTCTATCAAATCTAACTTCCTGTTTCAAGTATTTCACATTACAACTCAGATTATGGTCACACTTACTTTGCTGGGTGCTTTCCAGGAACTTAAATTTCATCCCTACTGAAAAAGCTATCTGCTGCAGTATCCAAAGGTCATAGTGAACATAAAGCAAGTTACTCTGGGAACTGCGACTTAATTTCCCAATTGCATCAAATGAACAAAGGCATGGCTAAAGTTTCAGTTTAGAGGGGATGCTTGTGCTCATTAGTCTTAATATTTATATTGAACTCACTGGCGTAACTCATACTGACAATCTCAGTATTTATTCTCTCATATGCATAGACATGTATGGAACAAATAAACATAGATTTCAGAAGCAGCACAGGTTGCAGCACTTGAAACATGCCAATTTGGCCTGTCACCACAGTGACAAGATAAAAGAAGCCAACATTTTCACAACAGTCATCATCAGTACATTTATCACCCCAATTTATTGACACAAACAAAATGCATTTATGCTTGCAAAACGTAAGATTGTGTGCAATCCTTTCATTGAACTTGCACAAAGACTTTCTGGGAGTTATTCAGGGCCAAAGATTCATCAGATATCATAATAGGACAGAAAAACAAAACAAATTATTCTTTTCTTGGCTAGGAACATTTGGCAAAGGACAAAAAAAATAAACAACAACACCACCACCACCACCTAGCTCTTACATAAGGCTTTTCATCATGAGACCTCAAAGTGCTTTACAAATGAAGTCAGTGTTGTGGCAATATAAATAATGGAAGTCAGAAAAGGCAAATGAAGCCTTAGTTTAAGGAGCTCAGCTATAAATTCTGTTGTTCCAAACAACTAATTAATGTTGTAGAAAGGTTCAAAACTTACCTGCTGCAATTTTTGGAAAAAACTGATGAAGACATCACTGTTTATAATGTTTGGATCTATAGTAACTGGAAGGGAAAAAAAAAAAAAAAAGAAAGAGAGAGGGAAAAAAACCTCACTAAGGGCATAAAGGTCAAGGTTAGTTGAAGAGCTGAGGAGGAAGGTCTAGGACTGAAAACAAGATATTTGCAATATCCCTATCCACTTTCCCCAAGAGACACGTATGCATGGAAAAGGTTGCTGGTAAAGCTGTCAATAATCAATTACCCATCCTCTAGTTTATGCATGATTACCTTTATTGGAAGGTCCCCCAACTGCTTTCAGATCACATACATATGGCAGTGTGCATCTTCCACTATCTTAAGACCAAATCCTAGCTCCACATTTCACAAGACAAAGAGTGCTGAAGCTTGGCTCCTGGGAAAATGAGCAGGTTTTCTGAAGCACCAAGTAGCTGACTACTCCCCACCAGCAGCAACAGGAGCTGCCAACAATTCAGAGTCAGCAGGCACCCAAATAAACCCTGAATCATCCAGGCACCCAAATAAAT